CTTTTCTCTTTTACCTATTTTCTTATATATTTCTCTATCCCTCTTTCTTTCTTTCTCTTTACCTATTTTCTTATATATTTCTCTATGCCTCTTTCTTTTTTTCTTTCTTTCTTTCTCTTTACCTATTTTCTTATATATTTCTCTATGCCTCTTTCTTTTTTTCTTTCTTTCTTTCTCTTTACCTATTTTCTTATATATTTCTCTATGCCTCTTTCTTTCTTTCTTTCTTTCTTTCTTTCTCTTTACCTATTTTCTTATATATTTCTCTATCCCTCTTTCTTTCTTTCTTTTTTCTCTTTACCTATTTTCTTATATATTTCTCTATGCCTCTTTCTTTTTTTCTTTCTTTCTTTCTCTTTACCTATTTTCTTATCTATTTCTCTTTGCCTCTTTCTTTCTTTCTTTCTCTTTACCTATTTTCTTATCTATTTCTCTTTGCCTCTTTCTTTCTTCTTTCTCTTTCTCTGTATCTATTTTCATGTTTATTTCTATATACCTATTTCTTTTCTAGTTCATTTCTCTCGATTTTCTTTCTTTCTTTCTTTCTTTCTTTCTTTCTTTCTTTCTTTTTCTTTCTTATCTATTTCTCTTTGCCTCTTTCTTCCTGCCTCTTGTATAGAGCAATAACACAAGTATGCGATAATCAGTAATGGTCAATCTTAAAACGTCCTAACCAATAATCTTGGATGACAGGTCTATAGTTATTTACTAGTCTTAGCTTAGTCCAAATACCATGTCGAAATAGAACTCATTCTTGAAATAAAATTCTGATATACAAGCATGCAATAATACACACAAACATGAATATTTTATTACTTCAAACGTTATTATAATGGATACTCGTATTTGAAACATTTTTATTTTAACCGGTGCGTTTTATGACTATCGGTCTGCATATTCGATAAATACACAAACACATTTATCTGATAGCTGCAATGCATCACTTGATACATCCTCATATATGCAAAGCGCGTTCGTGACTTTTGGGGCCGGCTAGAGTCATACTTTGTCTTGTGCAGATGTGGCAGCATTGGTCATCTTTTGTAGTAGAAGTTACATTGACATTTGGTGAACTTTCAAATCTCTGAGGCATATTCTCTTTTACACATTCTACAAGTATAAATGTTGCATATATATATATATATATATATATATATAATATTTTTTGTTTAAAAATATGATTCCTTCGCTACATAAGAGTTCTCATGTTTCAAAAACGAGAGCCGAAACCATCCAAATAATGATTAAAAATTAAGTTGAATTGTGGTGTTTATTTCCGTTTCATCTTCAAGCGAAATTTTAGGAATTCTAGGATTCCTAAAATTCAATATATATATTAATTTAAATAGAAAACAGACAACCATAAGGGACCCTTAAGTTTGTCTGTTTTCTATTTAGATTAATAATTGCTCTGATTTGACATTGAGATCTCTGGATTATATCCTCCTTGGGATTATTCATACGGATTACCAAACTTAAATATATATATATATATATATATATATATATATATATATATATATATATATATATATATATATCAACAAAGACAAATGAAATCTCATCTTAGTCTTTGTTCGTGTTATCCTTTTGCAGATATCATCTATCTGAAATTTGCCACAAAACACACACGCGCACACACACTTATATATATATATATATATATATATATATATATATATATATATATATATATATATATATAATATTAATATTTCTTTTTTTGGAAATATTCAGTATTCATTGACCGACTAGCCAGTGGACGCTTCCGGTTGAAATTCATAAAATCTTTCTCTTAAAACAGTTTTTTCAGGAAAATAGGTCTCCCAAGTCCAGTCGCCGTTATCGCTCGTTCCAGTATCGATGGGAATTTCCTTCCATGCCTTTTGTTTGAAGTAGTGTGGAATTTCAGCATCTTGATTTTGCCATTATTCCCTGTTCGAGTTACATGTGCTATTCATTTTAGTTGTTGCTGCTCTTGAAAGACATCAAAGTGATAGGGTTTCTGTTATTTGGTACAGTACTTTGCCTGTGACTCTGTAACGCTAGTTCACGAGATCTGAATAATGATGCTCGCTGAGACCTACGAGCTTCATTCCATCGAAGCCATTTTAACTATAGATATGTTAAAGTGTTTGTAGTCTTGGAAAACTCGGAAGAAGATGCTGATTTTTTTTGTTCCAGATCATACTTATACCAACCAAAAATAGCAATGTCATCGGCATAGCTCAACCTATCCTCTGTACACTAGCCTGGCGAGAGAGAACAGGAACGCTGTTTTCTGTTAGTAGATTCATTTAGGATATGAGATGCTTAAATAACCAGTACACATCTCTTCATATCCGTATTTGTTTATGCGTAGAGTACAGTCTAGAAAGAGATTAAATAAATTGGAGCTCTCATTTCCGCATTTTCTTACTCCTGCTGAAGTTGGAATGTTCCATATTGGTGTCCTCGCTCGACCTGGAACTATATGTTCCTTCTATACATTCAGCGGATTCGGAACTTGGATGTCTTCATTGATGGGGAATACCGTAAGGTCTACATAACAGTTATGCCATATTCGATTTGAGAGGTAAGCAATTTCCCACAGTGTTTTGATGACATATATGTCATCATTGCATCTCTTACACAAACGAAAGCCAAATTAGATAGCCAGGAGTTGATTTTCATAGAACTGCGCACGTTAATACGATGTTCATTCGTACCTTCATCTTAATGGATCAAACTGAGATACCTCTGTATGTGTGATGGTCTTGAGGACTACCTTTTTGTTTCCATAGTGATTTAATGGGTAATATACCCCGCTTTGTGGTCACGCTTCTGATTCTAGACTTCCTTCATGAAATTTGGAATTTTTTTTTGAAAATCAGTTAGCGGGTACGCTATTTTCAAAAGTTCAACCTCAATGCCAAGCGATGCTTTCTAATTCTTTAGCTGTTTTATAGATTTCTTTTGTTCCTCGGGGGGGGGCACGATGGAGTAACGGTTAGCATCTCGGATTCAGGAATAGGAGAGCAGAGTTCGAATTCCAGTCGGGCTCGTTACATTCACTTACGTGCAAATACCTTTGGGAAATGTATGAATCTATCTCTCTCACCTATGAAAGGAAAACTTTGAATTCAAAACTTGTGTGATCGACGACTAAACTTGTAAGTGGAACCCCAGCAGCAGCAGCACACACACACACTCACAAAAACAAAAAAAAAACAAAGAAAATAAAAACGGGCGGATGAAATCCTCTCACTATGAGTTATATAACCTCACCACCCCTAAATTGGCCAAGCTAGGTGAGTACGGCTACATTCGTTGAAGACATGGTCAATCAGGGAGTCGTTTCTTCAGCAGAAGTGAGTAGACCCTCATCATGAGTTTCGTTATTGTTTATGTTTGGAAACAGACACTGTAGTTCCCATTTACATACTGGTCTATAGTCTATTTCTGCGGGCTTACTAGTCTTAGACTGCGTACACAATGAGGATCGAACTTATCGTTGAAATATAGGTTTGATATATAAACGAACAGTAATGCAACTATCTATCTATCTATCTATCTATCTATCTATCTCATTCTATCTTCTATTATCTCATCTATCTATCTATCTATCTATCTATCTATCTATCTATCTATCTATATCTATCTATCTATTCTCTTCATTATCTATTCATATCTATCTATCTATTCATCTATCTATCTATCTATCTATCTATCTATCTATCTGTTCGAAGTTGTATGGGAAATTTCCCGAAGAAGGATCTCCTGGCACACAGCGTAGCTTCTTTCAATCATGCGAGAGATGTAATGGCTTGTTCGACACCAGTCTGCATGGATGAGTTCAAAGAATTTGTTCTGGCGTTTTGCTAGTAATTGCTTTCGACCGAAAGTTCGTCCCCGTTACTCAACCGTCCTTTAAATGCACGTGCCACTCAAAAATCTTTGCGTTCAACCGCAAGACGCTGACAATTTTTTTTTTAAAGCTTCTTGGTGGCTGTTTCATCGAGCGTCACACGAACATTGATCCACGTGCGTTGCACGAGTTCGTTTTGTCAATATAAATGATCTCAGTGTCCTTTCAATACGATGAGTCGATAGCACGTACCCTATTGATAGACTGACTTACTTGGCCGAGTAGCAATTATAGTTAATTGTGCGTAGATTTCTATTGAAAGACACAATCGCATCATGTATGGGAATTTTCCGAGACTACTCTGTATGTTTAGCTTAGTCAAGAGTAGAGGCATTCAGTAGAGATCGAAACCACTTCAGTAATGTTTGTGAGCATACCTTGCTAACCACTGCCTCGCTGCGAATCACATAACAGCAGCAGTTTATATATTTATTAACCTGTGTAGGGTACAAGGCCACAATTGTGAAGAACCTAATGAAGTTCAGTTTTACTCTAACAATAATGACCTGCGAGATTAGATATACTTCAATGCGAGACGGGTCATCTTAAACATTGCTTAGATTGGCACAAGGGCACAGAACGCGGTATTATGGGATTGATTGTTTTGGTTCTTTTTTACGGTTTATCAACCATGTGCAGATTATTTAGAGCCAAGAAATATTTTTAGATTGTGCGAATTTTGGCGAGGAATAATAATCGTTTAGTGATACAAGTCTTGCTAATTAACACATAGCTGTGGGTAGGGAGTGATAGATTCATGCCTTTCTCATGAGTATTTGGACATAAGTGAATATAAAGAACTCGACTGGAATTGGAACTCTGCTCTACGATTAAAAATTACAATCCATTAAACGAGCCGTACCTCAAAGCTTACAGCACCTGGTATTCCAAGGCGGTCCCCCATCTATGTACTGACCTGGCTCAACGTTTCTTAACTTCGGTGAACGCGCGCCAACTGGCACTTCAGCGTGATGTGGTGGATTCATGCCTCTCCCCAGGGTATTTGCGTATCAGGGAATATAAGGAAAGAAAACCAACTGGAATTAGAACTCGGATGTCTTCGATTAAAAAGTTCCAGACGCACATCCAAATTTACAGTACCTGGTATTCCCAAGTGGTCACTCTTCTAAGTACTGACCTGGCTCAACGTTTCTTAACTTCGGTGATCGTGCGGAAACCGAAGTTTCAACATAATCTGGCCGTAACCCACGTTTGATGAGGGTCGGATTGATTAAACTCTCAAGACGAACTTGATAACCACTGCACTACATCAGGCGACATCTATTGCTCACGTTTGGCACTACGGATTTCCAAGATAGATACGGATCTACGGTAGATGCCTCTAGCAGTATAAAAGAAATTAGAATTATCCTCTCTCCCAAATAACCTCAGCTGCACCCTAGCCGACAAAAAGGAACCATCCTGATAGTCATAATTTCAATTTCGGCGATATTGTCTTTATTCTTCGTCAAAGCGCTGATTATCGAAATAATCTTCATCATTACTTATAATTATATTTAATAATCTTATAATAATAACAGTTATCAATACCGTGTTCACTTTTATAAGTAAAAATGACGCCGAGAAACGCAAGATATTATTAACGAACATTCAAGGACGTATCTCTCTCTTTGCCGCCATTATGTCAATCCCAGACAACACCTGAATCACCATCATCATAGCTAATGATTAACAAGTGTTTTTATCATTTCACCCCAAGCAAGGTTGTAAAGCCACTAAGACACAAATAGCGATTGTGAGTGAAAGAGACAGAGTAAACATTATTGAGTAGAAAGGACAATAAAATAACTTGATATGTCCCGGAAAGGGATATATTTGAACGAAGTAGCTAAGTGGTTTTGGTTACTATAACTTAGTAGAATAGGGTAGCAGTAATCGACTGGTACGCGTCGTAAACGCAGGTAAGAAGTGTAGATCAATGGCGTAGTCCAATGGGCGTCGTTATAGACTTAGCTCTCAGACTAAGGCTCTTTGACTCTCCTACACGTCCGTCGGTATTTATGACGGACACCAGCCAATCATATTCAAGTGAGAGGGAACACAGGTGTATGTATATTCCATTATATCAGAACTGAATTCGAAAAGGCACATAACGACGTTTGATCCTGCCTTTAAATTTGTTAAAGGCCGTAGTTAGCAGGAAAACAAGAAACCGGAAGATATTTCTCCATGGTAGAAGTGCGAGGGAAGAAACTATGAGCATAAAACTTACGGTTGGTTTCATCTAGCAATTTCAGTAATAAAGCTGCCAATCTAGTATTCTTAAATTCTTAAAGACGTGGAACCAATGAGAAGTAGTCCTGGGTATGACGATAAATTACATCCGGCATCAAGGCCCGATCAAGAGATTTGGGTTTTTTTTTCAGGAAAGTCGAACCGCCTTTTATTTGCTGTCGTTCACCCTGACTCGATGTGATATCAACTTTTAGGGTGCCAGCTATGGGAAAATAGTCTTTTGATGTTTGGTGATTCACGAATTACAAAAATACATTATGGTAAAAATATCAGTAATATATTTACAAAAGAATATAGTCAGTTGTAATACATTTTTGTAGCAAAATGACAATCAGTACGTCACTAAAGTATTATAAAAATACGTTTTTATAGTAAAATTACTAGCAATACATTTTATCTTCAACCTATATATGTAAACATATGTTGGCCCTGAACGTATAAAATTATGTACAATATATCAAGTTGAAGCGATAAAATTGTGCACAAAATATTCAGATTTTGGGATTAAATAATCCATAGAGGTGTCGATATGCTATTAAACAAAAACAACCAACCAACGATGAAAGTTCACCAGAACAATCGCCATGAAAATATTTGAAGAAAATCCACAGGGCAGCTACGTTACGGCTGTGGGAAGTGACTGAAAGCGAAATGTAAAGTCAGAAGCAATAAAAAGCCAGATTCTTCTTTGGAGTTTGTCTAGAATCGCTGGATAGATAGCTGAAGAATCAAACTAGGCGTGGCAAATGCATTCAATGCACGGACGAATGTCAAACTTGCTTTTAAATCGTTGTCGAAAGAAAAGTAGGCCTGAATATGATCTTTGACATTTTTTGGTCTGTATCGTGCAGTTTCGAGACAGGAGGATTTCTTTGTTAAAGAAGAAAAGAATACTGAGCTGTCACGTGACATCTATCATTCTTTATGGCAGCGAATGTTGGATGATTTCCTCAAGGATGAAGAAGAGACTCAAAGCGACGGAGATGTTGTTCTACAGAAGGATGCTTAGGATATCATGGATCAGGCAAAGATGAGATCTTAGAGAGGATGCAAACATGGAGGGGGCTCATAATTAACATCAGAAAAAGGCAGCTGAAGTTTCTGGGACACATAATAAGGAAGGAGGGCCTGGAGAATCTGATACTCACAAGTCGAATAGCGGGAAAGCGAGACAAGGAAAAACAGCGCATGAAATACCTAGTGGCTTTAAGCAAGTGGATGACAACGTTGTCTGAGGGAGGTGACAGAGGAAAGTAAGCTGTTGAGAGCTGCAAGCGATAGAGGGAAGTGGAGAGCCATGATCGCTTACGTCCTGAAAGGACACGGCACATAGAAAGAAAAGATATATTCGGGCCGGATTAATGTCAGTTTTTGACGTAAGGAAATATGCAAAATGGTGCTACAGCTGATTACAATTATGCAGCTATTGCTTTTAGTTTAGTAACAGAATTTGATTCATATTAAAAATGTTAATTTAAAGAAATTTAACAACATATATTGCATCACACAATCCATATAATCATCAGTTTAATTACTGGGTGCAGTCGGAGGGTCGATGCGTAACTAAGCACCAGACCAAAAATCCGGGTTGAAAGCTGAAGAGGTGTTTATATAAGTGTAGGCTATCTTGTGTAAGTAGACCTAATGGGGCCTATCTCTCTTCCCGTCATACCAGATATTAAAAAAAAAGACATATGTGGCAATTAGTGAAAGAGAGTCTGGGAGACCAGGGATCGGATTTAACGCAATTTCAAACTTTTAGGAATGGTCTTGAATGTATCCGCTTTACATTGGGCAAAGCTATCCGTTGAAAATCTTAACGAGAGGCACGTAAAACATTTCAAAATAGAAGCGTGGACATTTCTGAGAAACCCAAATAGAAATGATGAGTATCAACTGTTTTTTTTTTTGGAAGAAGAGAAAAGACACCGATTTGCAGCGTGCCTTCAATGCGAAATAGTATGGTGGTGATGATGATTATGATGATGATAATGATGTTGGTGGTGATGTTGATGATGTCGGTAGTGCTGCTGGTGGTGATGATGATTTGCTTATTAATGATTGATGATGATGATAATAATGGTGGTTGTGGTAATGATAATGATGTTGGTGGTAGTGATGATGATCTTGGAAAAACCTGATTTGTTTTTTACAGCTTATCAACCCTTTGCGGGTTATTTAAAGTCGAAACATATTTTGGATTGTAAGAATAATTCTATTTTTACAAGCAAATATTGCATTATCTAAGTTTTTTTTTTTAAATAACAATAATTTTACAGATACAAGTACTACTATTTAATCCATATATGGGAAGATGGATTCATACCATTCTCAAATATATTTGTACGTATGTGGATGTAACGGACCTGACTGGAATTCGAACACAGCTCTCCATTTTCTCGTTCCGAGTCACTATCCATTACATCACATATTTAGAATAATCCAGAACTTTTACTGGAAACCATCAGCCTGCATACGGATACGAACTAATGTATTGAGAAAGTATTAAAAAAAACAAAACAAAACAAAAAACAGAAAAGAGGTTAATGGGCGTTTGTATCATTTCAAGGGCTGCATTTAACGTATACAGTGAGGTGAACTTAAGATGGTTGGCGTTTCGGCCGGGATTTATTTTTGGTGGGCACAATCTCAACAAAGTAAGATATACAGACGCAGAAAGTAAGCTTTTCTTTTTCTATTACTATTTTTCACCCAACATAAGACCAAAGAGCCACTCGATGTAGAGAATTACTAAATGAGGTTGTCAGTGCGTACAAGATGTAAGAGGTGCATTCTCTGACGTTATGTAGGATAGATAACGGTTGACCTTAGATTCGAAGAAGTAGTGATCGAGGGAGGCAACCTTTTAGGAGGAGGAGAGCGTTTCGTAGTAGCATATCTGGAGAGGAAACTGAGTGGTACTCCCTACTTACCAATGAAAAAATAAGGGAAAGAGGAGGAGACGACGTGGCATCGTGGGTCATAGTTGTGAAGGCCTGAACTGGTGGAACAGTAGAATGTAGTTCGCCTGAACATTTGTGATGAAAATGGCGAGAGAGTAGTGAGGGGCGAGCAATGGGGTTGCAGGGTGAAAAATAAATTCATCACCCACAAGGTCTCGCAAACGCTTCTGATCTCAGTCAAGACTGGAAAGATAGGATTGGACAGTTACAGCTCAGATATATTGAAATTAGTTCGTCTGATTTGGCTCACATCGAGACAGATACGCCAGGTACTTTGTAGAGGTGTCCAAAGAATAGACCATTTTCCAAGTATCTTTAGCAATGGATCGTTATACGAGTTCCACTGGAATGAGCTTCATTCCCAACAGACGTTTCAACCAAGGAGCATCTTTTAAAACTCATTGTCTGCTCTGGATGTTACAAGCCAGTTTCCCCACCCTCCGAGTTATGCGTGAAATGTTAAAGGATATATCAGCTACTATGTTTGGTGATATACATTTTTTAAGGGTCTTGCGCCCACGAACCGTGCTGTCATCTATAGATACTTATAGACAGTGTAGCAAAGAAAAGTGAGAAAACGGGATTAATTATTAATTGAATGCATAGCCATTATCAAGTGAGTCAGTTTAAGAAGTTGAGTCTTTATAACAGATGATGGACTAAGTGCCAAGGAAATTTGATCTTATTGGAATGGTAAGAGAAAAATAGTAAGATAGATTAGGATGCGAGCTACAAATTTGAGTCTTTATAACAGATAATGAAATATGTGCCAAGGAAATCCGAAGTCTTACTGGAATGGTAAGAGCTAAATGAAGTAGTAAAAATTATGTTGGAAACAATGGCAAAAGTGATCTATTGTTATGTAATATCAGTACTCTAAAATGACAGTGAATATTAAACAATTTCTTCAAATTCGAAGAGAAAACTTGATGCAATGGAGTTGTGGTTCATTTTTTAAATCATTTCACCCCAAGCTAGGGGGAAA